ACCCCCGAACACCCTGCCCTCATGGAGATGCCCGGCCCCACCGCCCTGAAGATGGAAGCAAATGTCCTTGTCATGGGAGCAGATAACGTGGGGAAATCAGGTAAGAAGTGTCCGTGAGCTGGGAGCAGGGGGTCCAGGCAGGGAGAACCCCAAAAGAGGCTGAAAACTGCAGCAGCGTTTGGAGAACAAACTTGCAGAGAGAAGCCCCGTGGAGCAAGTTGGGGAGATGGGGCTGAGCTTTCAGGTGCAGCAGTGATTCGAGGGGGGAAGCTGAGCACAACCTTGTCGGGTGAGCGATGGGGAAGGTGTTTTCCACTGAGCTGCAGTTTGCTGATGCTCTGGTTTGTGCTGTGCCTCTGCTCACAGACCTGCTGGTGGCTGGGGCAAAACCAGGGGTCGTTCCTGCTAGTGGGAGTTTGCAGGGGGTGGTGCGTGACTCTGCTTTTAAGAAGGACAATCCTTCACGTTTAGGGTCATCCTGACGGTGGTTGTCCTTCTCTCTGCAGCTCTCACTGTGCGTTTCTTGACCCGGCGCTTTATCGGGGAATACGGAGACATGGGTGAGTGGCAGGGCAGGGCCAGGCTGGTTACTGTTGTGGATTGGGATCAGGAGGTAAGCCTGCTGCTGTCCGCAGGATTTCATTGCTTCCCATCCTCTCCAGAGCATTTGCCTGCTCCCCGGGAGGGCTCAGTGGTTGTCTTTGTTCAATGACCCATCTCTTTCCTCCACAACTGCTTCTCTGGGGTGCAGAAGGTCCTGGCTGGCAGCTGGTGGCACCACTGTGCCTGGGCTGAGTGCTGGAGGCAGGCTGATGTGAAGGCCACCGTGCTTCCTGGGGTTGTTGCTGGGATGTGTCCTTGTGGAGCACAGTCTCCCAGGGTGGACGTGACAGGCTTGTCCCCAGGAGCAGACCTGGGTTGAGGGAGCATCTCTTAGGTCCATGAAGATGACTATGTTTTTCTTTGGCAGAATTCATCTACAGCCACAACCTGACCATGGATGGCCGAGAGATTCTCTTCCACATCTGGGATGTCCCCAATTCCCAGGTGAGAGCGCTCTGCTCCTGCTACCAGTTATCATCCTGGGGCAAAAAAACCTCCACTGGAAGTTACCTATGAGGAACTATAGGCTGGGAGCTACAGCTGAGCAAAACTCCCGTGTTAGGTGGTTTGTAGGCGACTGAATCCTTCTGGCCTACAGAGCACAGGCCTGCAGTGCTGCTGGCAGGGCAGCAATCATCACCATATCCTTGGTCCTCTGGCTGAGGGCTATAGCGTTGAAGCACTAATGTGACCAGCCCGGACTGAGGACAGGACTCTGCTAACAAAGTGGAAGTGCCACTCTGAGATCCCCATGTTGTCACCTACAGCCTGCAGTGCTTGGCAGCTGGATAAACCCCCCTTCCTTTTCTCTTTCCCCAGGAGCAGGCAGAGGAGGGCTCCTCAGAGGAGAAGCGAATCCAGTGGGCAGATAGCTTTCTCCTGGTCTACAGCATCTGCGACCGTGCCAGCTTCAACATCCTGCCCCTCAAAATCCAGTTCATCAAAGCGGCCAAGGAGGGGCAGAGCCAGGAGAAGGTGCCCATCGTCATTGTGGGCAACAAGCGGGACCTGCACCACCAGCGGGTGGTGTCCAGCGAGGAGGGCCGGCTCCTGGCCCTCTCTTTAGACTGTGGTTTCTATGAGGTCTCTGCAGCTGAGGCTTATCACGGGGCACTCATGGTCTTCCATGGACTGGCGGAGCGCATCCCTGACACCAGACTGGCACTGAAGAAGGGTACGGGGATCCGTGGCATCGTCAAGACCATGTCGGCTGTGTTTGCCCGTAGGCGAACAGACTCCCTCTGAGCTACGGCGTGGATGTTGCTTCTCTCTGTGCTGGACCAAGCCTCCTCCCTGCGTGCCTGTGGAGCTGGTCTGTGTGTTTGCCTAAGTGTGATGGGTTCTTTGCTGTCCTTCTAATGTTGGGGTCTGGATGACCTGCCATACACAGCAGCACAGCTGAGAACTGTAGTGCCTTAGTCTTGGCTCTGTGATGGGGCATCTCTACCCTTTGCTATACCAGCTTTTTAGGCACCTCCTGCTTTCTCCTTCCGTCCTCCAACACTGGAAAACACCAGGTGATTTTGCCACAGCCCCAGGCAGCATCATCCCCAGCTCCTCCAGCAGGAGGTGTTGGTCTGCAGGGAGCTCATGCTCCTTCTGCCCGGCTGCCTGGCTCCCTGTCCCCCCACTCCTACCCCGGGATCCTTATTCCTGTTTAACGCTCATCAGGGTCCTCTCTGGTACCCCTGGAGCACCCATGAGCTGGCAAGGTCGGGGTTTCTCTATCAGGGAGCCACTGGCAGTTCCTGTGCATGCATCACCATGTTGGAATGTCCCAGAGCCCACAGCACCGTCTGACCCAGAGAACCTCAGTGGGACCCCATCCCACCCGCTTTGTTTTAGAACTGTCCTACTCATGGTCCTCTCTCCCACAGCCTTTCAGTGATTGCAGCCATTTCCCCTGTGCAAGCACCATACGGGCTGTGCCTGGGAAAGCCCAGGAGCGTGGCTTGTTCCCAGCACTGGGATCGCACCGTGCGCCTTCCCAAGCTGCTCCGTCTGCAAGTCTGCCTGTCCCTGGGGAGCACAGGAGGTGTGGAAAGGGGTCGCTGGGCTCGTCACTGAACCCTTCTGCTGCTGGGAGGCTTTTCCCTGCCTCTCCCCAAACCCCTTTCCCTGGGAAAGCAGCGTGTCAGAACAGGGTCTGTGTGTGCAGTACGGACACTGGTGTCTCTGCTGTGAAATGCAATATATTGTCTTTGGCAGGAAGCCCCTGGTTCCTCAGAGCTGTGAATTTGTACTTGGAGCATGGGAAGAGACACGTACTGTGCCGGGCATGAGCACCCACCATCGCTGTGGCTGTGACGTGAGGATGAGTGTCCCTTGGCTCTGGGTTGGGTGTCTCGCCCACTCTGCTCCCTCATTTTGGTGGCTTGCTCTCATGAAGCAGCCGAGCATTCGGGGCGAGCGGCAGGTCGGGAAGGTTTATTATTGCAGTGGATACAACAACATGTTGTGGGAAGCCAGGCGGTCCTGTGGGAGAGAGGGGCTCCAGGAGCTCCATCTGTTCTCACTGGTCTTCTTTCTGACCCCACCATCAGCTGGGGGTGTGTGTCCAGGGCTTTCTGACTCATGAGTCTTGCTGGTTAGTGGGACCTGCAGCTCCTCCATGGAGGAACAATCTGTGGCCAAAGGATGAGTCCTGGAAAGGGGGATGGAGGGAGGAAGGATGGGACCAGGCTTGTATGGTGATGTTTGTTGGCTTTGCTGCTCTTGCTCTGTTTCAGTGCTGTTTTCAACATGTAGACCATCTAAGTCCACGCTATCTGCTTAACAGGGACGAGGGTAGCCCAGTGCCAGACCTGACTGGTCCCTGTTTTCTGGTCTCACCACTCTTTCTGCATCTCCTTCACCTTTCTGATCCCCTCTGTTCCCACCTCCCTCTTCCTTCTCTTTCCACCAACAGGGCTTTTGGCTGCCTTTATTCCCCCACCCTGGCCCCAATACACTCCATGGCACATCTACCACTTTGAGCTCCTATCCCAATACAGGGGTGCGTGCAGGCGGCTGACAGGGGCCTGGCAAAGCGTGCTGGGGAGGGGTGGGATCAGAGCGGGGCTGGAATGCGCTCATCCTCCCCACCGGCTCAGTCCTTCTTGAAGACAGGACTGTAGAGGCTGGTGTAGTAGGGCCGGCTGTACATGGGCTCGGGGCTGAAGCGGTAGGAGCCCTCGCTCACACGCCTGTTGTAGGGCGAGAAGGCAGATTTCCGCGGGAGGGGATACTCGGGCTCGAAGGCAGGGCTGCGGTAGAAGTTGTGCCGCAGGAACAGGGGGTCCTCCAGCCCCAGGAAGGAGAGGGGGTGATGGCCGCGGTACAGCCGCCAGTCGCCCCTCAGCTGGGCTTTCTCCTCAGGCGGGGGGGTGGCAGGCTTGGCCTCCTCCTCCTCCTCCTCCTGCTCCTTCTGCTCCTTCTCCGCGCTGGGTTTGCTGCTCCTGGTTGCCTCCTCTTCCTTTGCTGACTGCCTGCGGAGCTGAGAGATGGGGTGAGCACACAGCCAGGCTGTATGCGCCTGCCAGCCCAGCTCTGACTGTGCTACACAGCCCCTCGGAACTGGGAACATCAGGACAAGCCAGTTTGCCCCCAGAGAGGTCTGCAAGTGGAGGGGGGCAGGCAGCTGGAGAGATGGTCCCGGGGGAGCAGCGGGATGGAGGAATCATAGAACGGTTTGGGTTGGAAAGGACCTTGAGGTCATCCAGTTCCAGCCCTCTGCCATGGGCAGGGACACCTCACTTTAGACCATGTCACCCAAGGCTCTGTCCAACCTGGCCTTGAACACTGCTAGGGATGGGGCAGGAAAGGAAAGGGGGGACAGTCTCAGCCTGAACTTCCCTGTGGTTGCACCCTCGCCTGGGCATGAACTGTGTGAAGGTGCCACCCTTGGCCAACCTGCTGGTTCTATGGGAGACTCACTGTCACGGCTTGGGGGATGCTCAGGAGGAGGGTGGGACTGAGGTGTCCTGACATCTCCCTGCTCTGGTACCTCCTGGAGCTATGGGGTGCTCATGGGAGGAGGTTGGACAAAATGGGGTTTGCTGGAGATGGATGGGACAAACTCACCGGCACGTAGCTGTACAGGGTGCCCAGCAGATGCTTTGGGGCGCTGATGAGGGTCCCCCCAAGAGCATCCACCGTCTCCATGGCCTTGGACAGCCTGCGGGGGGTGAAGAGGATCAACCCCTCTGCTGCATCCCAGGCCACCGCCGGGACCTTCTTCACGCTGGAGATGCCGGAGGCGCAGGCGGTTTGCAGGTTGTCCCGGGCTCACCCCCTGCCTGCGGGAGGAACCAGCTCAGACTCCGGCCCCGGCTCCACCAGCCCCTCCAGGCAGGGCAGGGGTGTCCCTGCGCTCCCATCCCCGCTGCAGCCCTTTGCAGCAGGGTCACTCCGTGTCTCCCCCATTCCCAGGCCCCCGGGGACGCTCTGCCCTGGGCTGTGCTTCCGCTGCAGGCAGAGGCGAAGGGCAGTGACCCCAGCCTGCTGCTTCCCGTCCCCATGTCCCAGCGGAGCCGCTGCTGGGGACCGTTCCCAGCCCGCTGGCTCACACCATCCCTCGCTGTAGGGATAATGGAAGGGGAATCGCAGGGGCTCAGGAGGGAACTCGGTGCTGACACCCTACAGCAGCAAAGGAGTCTTGAATAGACAAGCCAGGATGCCCTTAGCCTTGGGGATTTGGGGAAGGGGAGCTGCTGGGGCGGGCCCA